TTATTGGCTTTATCTATAAGGAAAACTAGCTTTTCATTGTCTAAATCAGATTCCATTTTTGACTTTCTAATTTGTTCAAGTTGGTTTTGAAGTTCTAAGTTTCTTTTCTCCAAATCCTTTTTTACAGTATTCAGATCTTTTTCTTTATTTGATCGGAGGAGTTCGTTATCTCTTTTAAGTTTCTCAATTGTTGAATTCTTTTCTTTTAATTGTGACTCATACATTTTGCTATCAGGTGGATTGTGGGTACACTTTACTGACTTGATCATGTTTTGTATTTCACTGATTATGTTAGTTTTTGAGTCACTTTGTAAAGTCAACAAGTTAGTTACTGATTTTGAAATTTTGACCATTGATTCCTCAATAACATCAATTCTATTTTGAATGATAGTAAGGGTTTGCTCAGTATTTTTCTCAGATGTGGAAGATACGGCAAACAGTTTTGACTCTCTCTCCGTACTTTATTTGGCCTTTTTAACTTTTTTGATTCGAGCGTCACTGATGAGTCTTTTGTAGACGAAACGCGCGTCTGGCGTACAAAATTTCAATCCTGGTATCTATGATGAGGTAGCACTCCACAGTTAGAAAATAAAATTAAAACTGAACCACAAAATGTTTAATCATCTTTTATTCCTGGCTTTCTAATACATTAAACCAACTGTTTGTGTCATACATGTGCATATGTATAATCAGTTTGTATGTTCGAACCCCCCTTTTTTGGACGATCAATGCATTTGAATGGGGACATATAGTTGGAACACACCCCCCTTCCTTTATCTTTGGTTGGGAATCTCCCCTTTTGAAAATGGCTGGATCCGCCCCTGTAATACATACATTACACAATCTTGATGTTCCTATAAACCCACTATGAAGGCTATATTAATCTTCAGCTATCCAAAAATAAATTTTATTGCACATTAGCTCTTATATTTGAAAAATCCACAGGGGCCAAAATGGGAAACTACACACCTAACTGTGGATTGCTACCCGAGTTTATTTACTTTTAAATATCAAAATGAAACTCATTATCTTTTAACTTCCTTTTTGACGTTCCTCATGTAATCATGACTGCATCCTCTATATGTTTTGTATGCAATATTAGGAGGTTAATGACGCCTTGCATCTTACTGGTCTCAAGCAGTTAATTTTGATTTGAAATAAAACCGTTTATTGTTCGAAAGTTCATGTAGAAAAATCTTTCTTATACACTACATTGACGTTGGCATCAAATATACCTCACTATAAAGAAAATATGGTGGTCTTTCTATTAAAAATGTCTTGGTCCAGATATAAGGCAAAACAAATTCATGGTCCCGATTAAAGGTTTATAATTTCGTCTAAAAATAAAGACAACCAAGACAGCAAACTAGTCTGTCCTTTGGTTTAGGTTTCTGAAGGGTACAATTTTTAAGCCAATACAAAAAGTATAATATTGTAAGTATAAAATCAAAATAGCACGTTTTTATTTGCAATAATATGGAAACTTCTTCGAATGTTAAATTGGTAATACCTTTTTGTAAACGAATGCAGCATGTACTATTGGCAATGGATCAATGTTTGCTACCTTCGGGTTGAAGTTCCACAGTTAATCATTCTGAAATCAGCACATAAGCAGCACAGTCTAAACCAACTATCATTGTTCCAAAATAGTAAAAAATTCTTAGATTGAACAATTCAACTCGCATTTATAAACATACTTCAAATATTTTTGCCTCAATCATGACTGAAGAGACATCAGTTGTTTAAATACGCATCTGGTGCGGTAAAGTTTGTGGTGTTAATGATATCACTAAGTACAGAGTATATTACTTGTTTGGCATTTTTTGTCCTCATTTTAATATATTATTTTATATATTTTTTTAAATACGTACCCATTCTATGTTTTTTTTACCATATGTGAAAGATATCAAAATAAGTGGCATGATTGCCATTGAGACAACTCTCTACGCAAGACCAATTGATAGTTTATTTCACTCTCGTACAGTAAAAAAATATTTTATTTGCTCTGGTTTGTCGTTGCAAGAACAAGATTTGAAACCACGTTATCTAAGATGTCAGAAATACGCATTTTCTTAATTGTATGGTTGGTTTATGCAATAAGAGTTTTTGCCTCCTTAAGGATGATGGGCCATTCGAAAGTTTATCATTCGTAATATAAACTAATAGTATATGATTCACGGAGCCTGAGTTCACTCGTCAATTGCCAGGCCACAAAATAGAAAAAATAAATATCGCCTTTTACCTCTAGAGATGTTTTTAACTTTGAATCACAAAAAAAAAAAAACAACAAAAAACAAATAAGGTGGAGAGTAACGTCTTTCATCCTGTTAAAAAAATACATAGGGAACATTTGTTCCAGACATTCACTTTTATGCCAAGTCTAAAAATAATATCGCGAGATTGCAATTTAATTTTGCATCTAAAACATTTAAAACTAAATGGCAATTATTTGAAGAAGACATTTCATACATTCCTATGTAAAAGATTTCTTTTCATTAAATAATTCTAGGTTTGGTGACCATGCATGTTGATCGCACCTATCCCATTGAATTTGATATAAAGAAGATCACAGATACAGTTAAGCATGCATCCGATCTAGAGTCAAATCTAGAAATTGACAATGAGGGTCGGTTTAGAACTTAACTTTACGAATAAAGAAACGATTTAAAAATCCCATTGTGACAAATGCATTTCTGTGTTGCAATTTTCCAGCAGCGGCTGCATATGGAGCATAATTCTCCCAGTTGATACAATATTCAAGGGCTTGCGTTTCCTAGTATTTTCTCTCTCGTTTTGTAATTTCAGAAATGATTTCTAAGACTAAATGGCAAAGTGAGCTGACAAAAGGAGATTCAACCAAAAAAACAATACAAATAAAACTCAAACAAGGTATCTGGTCTTCAATTCAAGAAAAAAACATTAAAAAAACACACAGATATAAAAAAGCTTGATCGCTCCGAGGAAACAGATGACATTGTTTTACTTCTGAATGTGAATCAACATGTATGTGTTACTTAACAGAAAGCCAAATAGCCTCATATCTTGACTTTCATATAGAAATTAACAATGAGGGCCGGTTGGAAACAAAACTTTACGACAAAAGGGATGAGTTCAGCTTACCAATTGTGAACTTTCCATTTCTATGTAGCAACATTCCAGCATCGCCTGCATACGGAATATATATCTCCCAGTTGATACGATATTCCAGGGCTTGTATTTCCTATCATGATTTCCTTGATAGAGGGTTACTGACCATAGGGAAGCTATTAAACCAAATGATCCAAGTGGTGAAGTTGAAGTCATCCCTTCGTAAATTTTACGGACGCCATCACGGGTTCAAAGATGATAGCGGATATGTTCCAATTGTCGTAACTACAATCCCATACCGCTTTCCCAGAATGTGACCTTCCGAATTAGAATTATTACAGGGTTTGTATTAACATGAGCAACACGACGGGTGCCACATGTGGAGCAGGATCTGCTTACCCTTCCGTAGCACCTGAGATCACCCCCGTTTTCGTTAGGGTTCGTGTTGCTGAGTCTTTTATTTTCTATTTTGTGCGTTGTGTACTGTTGTTTATCCTTTTGTCTCTTTCTTTTTTAGTCATGGCGTTGTCAGGTTATTTTTTACTTATGATTTGAATGTCCCTTTGGCATCTTTAGTCACTCTTTAACACATGAACATTTCTTAAATTGATGATGATTCAATCGAATAATACCCAATTATAATAGGAATTGCCACAATTAATGGACAGTACAACAGAATCTGCTACAAACTCCCGAAAACACACAAACATTTATTAGTTTTTATAAATTTGTTCTATTTATTTTTATGTTTGTTTGAATTTGTAGTCCGTTGTGTTGTATGTTTGTGATGTATGTTTACACAGTAAGTTCCCAATAGCTGCTAGATCCCAATTATTGTCACATCAACCTGTTATGTCTGTTTTGGTTGTTCACCCAATTTTGTAAATATAATAGAACTATAAACAAATGTCACACAAGTGGGAGGTATAGCTAGCTATAAAACCAGATTTGACTCACCATTTTCTTCGGAAAATGCCTGTACTAAGTGAGGAATATCATAGTTTTTTTATCGATTTGTTCCGTCGGTTGATGCAGTCTGAAGTGTGATTTTGTCAGTTTTTATGGACTTCCCCCTTTCTTTATTTACCTTACAGCTCAGTTTTTTCGTTAATACTTTTTTATACCAACAATCAGCAAATAGTATAGATAGCCCGACTTAATGCAGACACAACATGTGATATGGTTTAACCAGTTTAACATACGTACATACCTCCCTTGTGCCTAATTAGACCAAATGTCGTAACGACAAAAAACAAATCACATTAATACATAGGTCAGTAATTAGCTATGAGTCAAGTGACAGAAAAACAATAATTTTAAACTTATTTAAAAACATTTATAAAATACATGTAGTATTGATTTTAATATCGATTTAAGAGATATTTGACTTAATCTAGAAATTGACAATGAGGATCGGTTGAAAAAACTTTCAACAAAATAGACGATTTTAGCTTCCAAATTGTGAACTTTCCATATCTGTGTAGCAACATTCCATCAAACGGAGTATATATCTCCCAGTTGATACGATATTCCAGGGCTTATATTTCCTTTCATGATTTCCTTGATAGAGGGTTGCTGATCACAAGGAATCTATTAAACCAAGAGTTCCAAGTGGTGATGTTGAAATCATCCCTTCGTAAATTTTACGGACGCCATCACAAGTTAGTCGACCATTATTTAATATCTGTTTCACAGATTACGACGGATATGTTTTAATCGTCGTAACTACAATCCCGTCCCCTTTTCCCCGAATGTGACCTGCCGAATTAGATTTATCACCGGGTTTGTACTTACACGAGCAACACGACGGGCCACATGTGGAGCAGGATCTACTGACCCTTCCGGAGCACCTGAGATCACCCCCCAGTTTTGTTGGGGTTCGTGTTGCTCAGTCTTTAGTTTGCAATGTTGTGTTTTGTATATTGTTGTTTTTCAGTTGGTCTTTTTTCTATTTCAGCTATGGCGTTTGTCAGCTTGTTTTCCACTTATGAGTTTGAATGTCCCTTTGGTATCTTTCGCCTCTCTGTTTTGGACACAAATCCAGTATATCAACGAAATACTCAATCTTTATTGGAGTTCTACAAAAAAATGTTCTTTGCATAATTCTAATGAATATCACATTTGTTGGGACATGATAAACTACTGTCGATTATAATATAAATGTGTGTAACATTAGTATAGGTTCTATTGAACATTTGTTATCCAAACGGCTTTACATCTGCAACATCAGATGTCATGCATTTTAATTTGATCACATTGATCTTAATATACCGGTCAATTTCAAAATTTATTCACAGAAATTCAAAATACTTATATACGCTAACTATTAAGATATTCCTTGACATCAGTTGAAATATTACAAACCTTTAATCTACAAATTTTATATTTTCTCAAAATGTTGTGCCCGATCCGAAATTGGCTTAACTTGAAAAGGAATTGTTGTTATTACTTATTACTTCAATTCAAATACGTCATGTACAACTAAAATCAGGAAAACATCGTACAAACGAATGCCGATGTTTTCAACCTTTTTTTTATCTGTCAGAACAATTAAACATCTCCCTGTTCACATCGAAGGCTGTTTAAACTACGAAATGCATTCATCACCAAAGAGATACACTATGTTTTGTAAAATATAAAATACAATATTGCTACAGAATAAATGTTAATACAAATAAACACAGTTAGATAAAATGTCTAAAACCAGCAGTATTAAACTGATCGCAGGTGTGGAACTGTCCTCAAAACACTGAAAATAACCAAAGGCTGGATAAAGTTACATTATCTCAAATTCACGATTCTTATTACCTATAAAATGTGTCATGCGCTATTCATTACAATCACACATTCACCATCCATACATTCAAATATATGCATACAATGTATATGGAATGGATTTGTAGTTCCAAAAAGAATGTTTTGCAATGATATAATATGAGATCGAGGAATTTCCATTGATCATCACGTCGTTGGGGAAACTAGTTGATTTTCTTAAATGATTAATCATGGGTTTATACATATATGGATTAATCAAATTGAAATATTTGTTACGATCAAGTCTTATAAAATATCTAGATCGAAGTGACGACTTTTACAAGGCTTAAAACGACTGTAAATTGTTCAGAAAACAACATTTCTAGCGGTCAACATATGAAATGGCATTATTAGAATTAGTAGTTTGATTAATGAAAGAATCTGTGCAAGTTGCCCTCCAAAATGGTGACAAAGAAAAATTGCTCATCTCAAATTATGTTAGCCTGGAATCCTGAGTTAACAACACCTTCGCATTAGTAAGTCTGCTGTCGAGCAGTGAACCAGTATTCCAGGCTAAATTATGTAAACAGAAAACAAGTGTTGATACAAAGTCACATTAAATGTGTAATAATGGAAAACACACTTAGTTTATTCAAACTTATAAAGTTTAAAGTAGTCCTTTTTATACCATTTCAACACTTGACACTTTTCACAATAACGTTACAAAGATCACATTCATCATTCTTTGAAATAGACGGATTTCTATAGACGCAATTTGCGTAAGGTTTCTTGCCTTTTGACGCCATGTTAGAGGTGCACATGCACAAATTCCTACATAAATCAGTCAAATTCAACAGTGGTTTTACTGACCGGTAATCCTTTAGAAAAAGTTATTTTCTGAACAATTTCCGTTTATTTAGCCACTACAATCTGATAATTAGAATCTCTTATCAAGACTTGTTTGTACCATATGTTTCAGTTTGGTTAGTCAAATAAGAAACTCAACAAATTACACCTTCAAAATGGCGGTCAAGGGAAATAACTCAAACTCAAATTACTTCAAAACGAAACCTATCTACACCTCTTTCACAATTGGTCCTTTCCACAGTTAGCTTGTTCTAATGTTACACAGGTCACAGTCATCTTTCTTTGGTATTCCTCCTTCAACACTTGGTCCTTTTCACACTTAGCTTGTTCTAACGTTACAAAGATCACAGTCATCTTTCTTCGGTATGCCTCCTTCGACACTTGATCCTCTACCTGCTAGTTGTACATCCGAGTACATGGACGCACCCGGAAGTAAGCTCATTGCCATCAGATCTATTGGCTCCGTGTAGAATATTTCTATCACAGCGTTCAAAGTCACTAGAACTTTCTGTACACCGTCTATTGTTGTCAGCTGCAGGAAAGGATTACTGTAAGCGTTCAACTGAACTAGATTCTTGTCACAGAACTGATCAGATTCAGATCCGGGTTTTGTTAACACAATTGTGACGTAATGAACAACATTGTTATAGCAATAAAAGTCGGCAAAGTACATTTTCACATCTTCATTCAACAGTAATGTAGACCGAACATACAATCGACGAGAGCCGAAAATTGAAGTTTTTGGTGGTTTTAAAGTGGAAGGCAGTAGGAGTGCACTAAAGAAAATGCCTTCAATGTTTTCATTTACAATAGAATACCGATCGCCATTATTATCCTTCAGGTTGGGGTACATAATACCATCACTATCGCTCATCATTATAGAATCAAAATAATTTATTGATTTGTTCCTGTAGAAATAAGGAATAGCAGCCACACGTTGTTCACGTCGATGTACAAACTCAATTGCTTTCAATCTCATCTCATTCAGTTCTTGTTTTGTAAAATCTGTTGGCAAATATAAAAAGAAGCATTACTTACAGTTTGTATTAATATGAGGCAGGTGTAACCTGTGAAAGGGAACGAAGTCCGAATAAATCATTTTTTGCATTCAAGCATGATACTTGAATCTGTTGAAAAAGAAACGGAAGTACGGAAACGTTTCCGATGTTGGTCCTTTTGTTAGGGATTTTAGTTGTGACGACATTTTCAATGTAAACATGGAAACGCTTGTTATTCTTAGCAGATACTGAAATCTGAAGTTGATTGATCAGGTAAGTTTCCCAAGAGAACACATTTTGTTTGCTATAAAATCGTTTGTTGATTAAGCTCCAGACTCATTTTAATGTATAAGGAATCTATGTTAATTGTTTAACAGATAGATTTTTTTCGTAATTAAAAACATTAAATTTGCGGGAATAGAATGATCTTTCCAATATTTTACTCAAAGTCCCGTGACAAACGAGACCGGAAGAAAGAAAGAGATTTCTGCGAAAATACGGGAAACTGAAAAATTTAGAAAAAAAGTTAACGATTTCAGTTCATTAGTAAAGTGATTTTTTTTCTTCATTTTATTGATTTGTTTTTACTGTAATTGGTACTTAGTCCCCATATCAATTAATTATTGACTGCTTAACGAGGTAGTTCTTGTATTATTGAAGAGGTTTCGAAAAGGAGAGGCAAATATTCAATTACAGCGAATGGACTTGAGGATGTAGGCAAAGATGGTAACTTTGGTTAGCTTGCGTGCTAGCTGAACGATGAAATCATTATTAATATCAAGTTCCTGCCTTCTTTTGGGCAGAGTCAGTAGTTAAACAGTGCACAGAATCAATCAAAAGCAGGGACAGTATATAAACATTGTGAAACCAGTTTTACAAGTCAGTGAGAAGAAATATGTTTTCAATCTAAATTGAAAATCTAGTGTCAATTATAAGTTCACAAGCATGTTGTAGGTGTGTTTGATTTGTAAATTTCATTTCGATTAAAGTTACATGCATTTTATTTTTAAGATTAATTTTCACCATACAAAATGACAAGGGTTATATGGACATAATTTCATTGAAGATTTTAGTAACATTGAAGTAAACTCTATGTAGGCTTAACAGATTTAATCATGACTATGTTGACCGTTACGATGTCACAGGTGAGAATTGTTATGTGTCATTTGTACTAGCACAATTTCGTACATCTTTCCTCGGGATTACTGCCAAATCTATAACAGAGTACCATATTGCAGGAATAACAGCAACAATTTTCAATATGTAATATTTACCTGTGAAGAGTGTTAAAAAATTGAAATTTGGTATCTTTCGCCTCTCTTTTAAATTACATAGCAATTTTTCTGAAGAGAATAATTCGGACAAAAGTAGTTTAAGGCGACACATCAAAGTTCGAAACAAAAACTGAGTGATATAAAGTCATCAAAGATACCAGACTTTATATTTCGTATGCCAGTTGCGCTTTTAGTCAACTAAGACTCACCAGAGGCACTCGAAAGAAAACAGTTGGAATTTCATATCAATAACGAAGCTGAAGAGCGATGAAAATTCCAAAACGTAATGCCAAATCCGGCTAAGGTCGTGGGGTAGATTTGAATATATCAATATGTTACATATTCACAGAAAATTATCGTACATATGATATTTCATGCCAGCCCATGACTGCCGACTACTGGTGATACAGTTGTGGACAAAACAGCCACGACCAGTGATCGCTTCAAATATCACACCATGAATTAATGTGCTTTAACAGGGGAGAATGGGGAAATCGTGTCCCCTTTCCCCCAACAATGAACACTCGAGTTTTACATTCCACGCCTTAAATCACCTAATTTAGTTCATCAACTGCATTTAAATGTTATCGGCACTACTTACAAATACTTGTAACTTTTTCCTTGGTAACCTGAACTAGATTGTGTGGACGAAGTTCCTCGGTTAAACAATCACCATTGTTATTATTGTCCGTCATAGAACCCACATCTAACCAATACGTATTACAGTTATAGGACGAGTATAGTACTATACATCTGAAACATAATGGATTCTTTTGTCATTTATTTAAAATTGGACGATAAAATATGTTCAAACTAACGTAATGGCATTGTTACGAAAAAAATGTGTTGACCAATAATGTTGACATGGTAAGTATACACTAAACATACCATCATATACTTCCTCAGGCACAGAGATTTTGATTTAAGGAAGTTGAGAAAGTTGGCTCCTAAGTAGGTCACCAAGATCTTTTCAATTTTGCTATTCTCAGGAATGATAATTTTTTCTCGATTTCAAAATCAACTCCTTTTGTTGATACACCGAGATGATTTAATTTTTTGTTTGAAGTTGAGGCAAAAAACCCTCATCAATTTAATCATTAAATGCAGGCAAAAGAAGATTTATGCTTAAAAGAAGAGTTATTTTGTGATATGTATATACTATTGATTATCTTTATTTCCTCATATATATGAAGATTTTACAATCTATATTATACGAACAATATCCCAAACACATTTACATATTCTAAACAACATCTAAATATAACATCAAACAAGAAGGGAAATACATAGTAACATATAGGAAATATACTGAAAGAAAAGTCTCTTCGTCAACAATTGTTATACAATAACAACATTAATTTTGATGAAATATGTGACTATAAAGATAATATTTGAAGACCTGATATAGGTTAAACATATAATCTGATATGTGGCACATCAAGAAGCTTCACACATCAGCATTTAGGGTTTGGATTGTCTGGTTCATTCTTCCAAGCAAAGTAATATATTCTAAAATGTTAATAAAATATACCTGTGCACTGTATTCTCTCATTGAGAATTGTTTAGGCACTATCAAAATATCCAACATCATTTTAAATAAGTGTGGTCTGTTTGTGGAGTACGTAAGTCATGTTCGTAACATTTTAGTTTTCTATTCTACTGAATGGATGACTTGATGGATGTTTAATGTCCAGGAGGAAATATTTCGAACACATTAAGAGTGCGAAGATGGCAATGTAGTATGATTAGAAACCCTGCTTTATACCTGAAGGACGATCTGAACTTAATCTTTAAAGTGCTGAAGGAAGAAGAAACGACCAAAAAGAGCGACGTGTCATCCTTTTTCGAGTCTTGCCCATAATATTCCGAAATGTCACATGTGTGTTGAATAGAAGCAAATGTCGAGACATACTGTGGATTCATTTAATTTCGTGTGTACAAATTTTCGATGATTGAGGAAAATATTTTATTTCGTGATTATGCCAAAGTCTGCATATAACCTTATAGACAATTTGTAATTCGTGGAACACTTAATTTCGTGGTTCATCTGTCAAGACATATATTTTTTTACCAAGGACCAAACTCACACTATTAACGCCATCGACATATGATCGATACAATTTACTTACCTAGTAAATTCATGGTTATCTGTTAAATTATTGACAAACATCCATGGTGATAACCGGGTTTTGAGCAACCAATTCCCTTAAACATGCCCTGAACATGCAGATATTAGCATAAATTATGAAAATTACAACGCATTAGAAACATATAAAAATGTTTGAACTGCGTATAATAACCTGTATTCCTTTCCCGGTTGTAGAATGAATGGTATACTCTTAAAACTCCAATTTCCCTGTGTAAAAATCAAATACAGCTGCTGATTCTGCATATGTTGTAACAAAATAATCTTTTGTGTACACTGGTCCTCTTCGTGGCTAGAGGGGGTCTTTACCCAGTATCGGGATCCGTGTTTGTGAGAAACCTGAACATCTGGTCCGTTCTAAAATGTAGAGTTAAGACATGATGCTAATACATACATGTAGATGACAACTTTGATTGTGTTTCAATTTCAGAAACCAGTAAAACGTTACCTTTGATATCGTCTTGTTTAAAACACCTCTCTTTTTTTCTACATTGAAAAAAATAATCCGCAATACATTATGCAAACCAGTATATCCATTGAATGCATATTTCGTGGAAAAATTAAAAATATACATCAGGATCATAATTATTATATTGTCCCATCGAAGTTTTACTCAAATTCATCATTGTTCGCTTTTGATAAACGTAACGAATTTAAACTGATGTATGCATGTTAGCTGAAACAAATGTTCGGTTACAGCACAGCCTTACATTTTTACTTTGAAATGAATACTTTAATGACTGACATGCACACACAACTTTCCCTATAACTGCTTGATAGTTGTTGGTCGGTTTTCTATCTTCTGAAAATAAAGTTTTAATGCAGTTGTCCAAGTTTAATATTCTTTTAAAGTTTAAAGACGGACGGCCTAAGATGAACATAACTGACGCAGGACCTTGGAACATGTGGGTTTAGAATGCTCGATTTATCAATGAAACTTAAAGCAATATTACATTACAGAAATGCGATGTTATTGAAGTGTAATACTAATCCCGACACATTCAGCTTCACAAAAATATTAGAATCGCTAAGTTTTCTAAAACTGATCTCGATGACTAAAAGACTAATATAAAAGAATAAGCACTATGAAAAGGAAATTTGGAAACTAGAAAATATACAGTATAGAGATATGAGAGCCCAAACGATCGTTCACAAGAGAATATTAAGTTTTGTTACTAGTTAAACTATTTAAAAATATTTACCAGTGGGTTTGCCTCTCTGTCATCTTAACCAATCGACAATCAACATTGGTAAAATACAACCTTCTTAATCAGTAAATTCATATTGGATTAATGTTTAATAATTTGATTATGATAAGGTAAGGCTTTGAAAGAATACAATCAAATATTTAATTTGAAGCATATAACTTGTTCATTTCAAAGATTCTTTATTTCTTTTTATTAATTGTTAAATGCCATGTATTTTAATTTTTCCCCTATAAAATCTTTAGGACGAAAACTCGTATTTTGAACCCGCGTTTTGTTTAAAGACCATAAACGCCTTGATATGTTCTGAGAGGATAATCCATAGAGTACATGCGGTATATTGACAGACCATCAGTTAAGAGGTTGATATTCCTCTAATTGTCGATTCAATCGGTCTTTGTTAATTTCTCTTAAATTGTATCTCTCCAACGTCCCCTTCTATGGCCCTTGTCCAACATCATTATCTCGGTCTTCGTTGACTTTTTTCTCACTAAATCCAATCCAACTTACTTCATTCTCCTCTGCAGATAACATATTTCTAACAAATACTAAAATTGTTTCTTCCTCCTCGCTAAGACTTCGCTTCTCTCTCTTATTGACCAACAGTATGTCCTCACTATAATATCCTTTCTGTTTAACTGCCTTTGTTTAAACAACTTTCTTTCATGAAATTGATATACCTATATCTTCTAATATGATTTTTTGTTATTTGAATAAGCGACTTTTCATTTCGTTTTATCCTATAGGGTCTTTCCATCCCTACCCAAACTTATCTACTATTATGTTAGATTGTACTTCCTTCCCTTTAAACCAATATTTTCCTAAATAAACAAAAGTGCATGCTTGCTATTCGTATAAAATACTCTCTCTCTCTCTCTCTCTTTTACTTTACACCTGTCCCATTTTTTTTCAAATTTGACCTTTCTATTCATGAAAGGATATCAGCATTATGCATGAATATTATGAGTCAACTCCACAACATCAAAAATACAATGAAACAGACTTTAACAGTTTAATACTTAGACGTTTTCCGTGGACTTTATCTGTTTGGTTCTAATAATAGACAAGGGCGACTCAGATACCCGTACGTACGTTGCAAGTGAAGGAACAAGTCTATTTAAAACTGCCATACCATATTTATATGTATACGAATCATTGATGTCATATACAACATAAAACTTGCCACTGTTGTATACTAGTTCTAGAATTGAAGACACCTCATAAATTACTCTAATTAGATCTGGATGGGCTACATGTATGTCTATTTCACCCTACCTGTCTATATCTGACAAAATAGTTACCAATTCTCCTGGAATGTGAATAGATAACTGCAGCAAAGGATTCGATTAGGCGCAGCATTCGATTTTAAGGTCACATCGCATCTTCTCAACTACTAGTATCAGCCAAATTGTATTAGTATCAACAAGTGTCCATTAAATTAAAAATGATATAACATGCAACAATATATTTAGGATTCTTTTTTATTCGAGGGACACCAATATTCGTAAATTTTGTGGGTTTGTTTTTCGTTGGATTCCAATCTTCGTAGATTTCAGGGAACACCAATTTTCATGCATTTTTAGTTACTGATAATTTTACATTCATTTATTTCGTGGTAAAGGTGAACAATGAATCTGGCAACAGAACCAGATCATGTATCCATGCCAATACAATGTTACCTCAATTCATGAAAATTGGAAACCGCGAATTCAAACAAATCCTCAATATATAATTTATCTTTTGTTCAAAATAATAGATTTGTCATTATTTGAAATCTGTTCAAACTGGCACGCTATAAACAAAAAGGTGCTGCTGGAACCTAGAAAAAGTTGAATGAATTTAATAACATATAATGTTGCAATATTGGTAGTTAATTTGACTTCCAAAACAAATTTATTATTTCTAAACTTAGCTAAAAATGGATAAAAATGTTTGTTTGGAATTCTCACCAAGTTCATTAAAATTTATACAATCTTTTCAAATAGCCCATAACATTTCAAACTGGAAAACATCAAACCAAGATCTTCGTCTGCATTATCATAGTAATAGGGCAAATGAAAATCAATTGGATATATAAGCACAGAGGAACGCAAACAACTGTTTCTATTTTGGCACAACTCGTATTTCCTCTGGTATTTAGAGCAGAATTCAATATTGTATATTATGATCTTACCTCGTTTTTCAAACCAAATAAAACATCAGCACATTTCTCCCCTGTACTTTTGTCTAACGTTACGGATGATGGTTCTACAGTCAAACAAGAATTGATGTTTATAATGTCAAAAAATAAAATGAAGACACTAACACGAGGATCTGGATGGGGTTTACAGCACAGAGAAAAAAATGGCAATTTTTTTTTTAAAGAATAGAGAAAAATGGACGAAATTAAAGAATATAAATAGCTACGGGGAAAATAAATGAATAATTGAGAAAAATGGCTATACAATTTGAAGGATACAGAAATGAAGACCATCTCATCCGGACCCTCTAACATCATATAGACTTTAATACTACTGAACTTGACTAAATGTATTTTTAGAATTTATCTGGACATACGTTAATTTTGTATAAATATAAGCTTATTTGGTCTGTATTAAAAAAACAAGTGAAATTGCGAGCTACTGCTCACTGATGATACCCCCGCCGCAACTGGATATTTTTAATAGTGTAAAAATATGTAAGTGTTCGGTAAACAGGAAGTTGTTGAGTGATGAATTTGAAAACGCATCACACGGTATAGCTGACTTATATAAAACCTGAAACCAAATTTTCAGAAATCCTTATGATGTAGTTCCTGAGAATGATGCGACGAAAAATGTTCATTGGACGGATGGACGGACTGACGGATGGACGGACAGACAGAGAGGTAAAACAGTATACCCCCACTTTTTTTAAAGCGGGGATATAATAACTTCTCAAACTAAAATGTAAAAGTAAAATAAAACGTAAACTCATTCCCTTATATAAATATATGTATTATATACTAATCGGTGGCAATCGTTCTGTATCAGCCATCCGTGAACGATATCGACTTACGTTTCAAAGGCTTCATCGTACCTCTAATCCGTTTTACGTCATGTCACGTGAAAAATATCTATTGATGTATACAATACTGATTCCTTCAAAGTCATACTATGCGGGAGTGTTAGAAGTACACATCGTATTAACCCTCAACCAAAGTAATATCTCGAGCAACGCTCTTGAGATTTTATTGATGTGATATTGCAAAAAGTCACACAATATTCTTTATATAAAAGAACGATTTGGAATTTGAATTCAGAAGAGGGAATTACAAATGTGTTAAAGTGAAAGGTAGATGTATGACAGGACTGTTTAGTGTAAAAAAAACCTGCTCAATTTGACTGAAACTAAATTCTCCCAAAGTACTTTTAACACTCACTAATAGTATGACTATAAAAGCATTAGTCTATTTGAATTGAAATATGACTAAGGAATTAGACGTCAAAATGGGAATCACACGAGGAGAGTGACTCAGGAGTCTTTCGTTCAAATGGTATTTATACTTTCTGTACGACTAAGGAGTAAGTCGCTAAGATAGGATTCCCACTAGAATAGGAAAATGGATGAGGAGTCTAGCTTTCGTTTAAATAGAATTCAAACTTGAAGTATGACAAAAAGGCAAGTCGTTATAATGGGATTCTTACTTGAAGTTTGACTTAAAGAGAGTTATAATGGGATGCACACTAGGAGAATTACTAAGGAATGTGCCATAAAACACGATTCACTGTAGGATAGACGTAGAAGTCTGTTTAAAAAAAATATTTTCAACCTAGAAGAGTAATAAAGGAGTCTTTCGTTAAAATCATATCTGACTGGAATGTATGACTAAAGAGTCAGTCATTATGATAACATTCACAAAGGAGATTGCCGTAAAAATGAAACTCACAATAGGATATCGAGAGAGACATTTACATCTTCAGCCATTTGTTATAATTGGATTCACTAAGGAGTCTGTTGTTATGATGGAAATAATACTGTGAGTATGACTAAGGAGACAGGCTATACAATGGAATTTCAACTAGGATGTAATCCCCTGTACTGAATACAAATTCAAAATCGTTCTTTTATATAAAGAATCTTGTGTGGCTTTTTTCAATATCAAACCAATAAAATACCAAGAGCGTTGTTCGAGATGTTACTTTGATCGAGGGTTGATACGATGTAGGAGTAAAGCGCCCTCCCCCTATCCCCATAAAAAACGTAAATACAATACAACACAAATGAAAACACCCGTGGTGTATTTCAATTTCTAACAAAAAAAGCATCTCTTTCGACATTATTTCAAGAGCAATTAAAATTTTAGGAAGAACAGTGAACAATTTTTTTCTATAACTTTATATATATATATATATATAAAGTTGTAATATCACATTAATATTCAGTCGAAAATGTCAATCATAATTCTTTTTACAAACTACCCAAGAAAAAAATGGGAGACAACTTAATGTTACGAAATCGAAGCAAACGATAAACATCTGTCATACAAAAAGGTTAACCTAGCTATAAAAACCAGGTTTAACCCACCATTTTCTTTGGAAAATGCCTGTACCAAGTCAGGAATATGACATTTGTATTCCATTCGTTCCGTCGGTTGATCAAGTCTAACATTTCATTTTGTCATTTTTTCATGGACTTATTCGTTTTGAAGTAACTTTGGAGTTCGGTATTTTTGTTAATACTTTTTGATGTATCATAAGCATTTCTTTATATACGATGTATATTTCCAATGAATCTGAAGCATGGTAGCCGATCAAAATGTGAATCCATCGTGTCGACGAGGCGTGAACAAACAACATTATCAACGACGATTGGGCAAACCCACTCTAAAAATTCGTAAGGGTTCCGCGGAACCCAGTGTCTCGCCTACTTTTTCTGTTAATCGCAGGCTCAACAAAAATGAGGAAGTTAATCAATAAAAATATTCCTCTTGATACTATCTTTTGATTGAAAGAAGCTTCTGTCCAAGTTTGGTAAAAATCCAGGATAGTTTATGAATCTAATAAATGTTTAAAAACTTTAACTGCAGACTGAATGTAATGTTAACTGGAAGAAAACAAAATTTCCTTCTAGATACTAGCATTTGATCATAAACAAGCTTCTGTCCAAGTCTGGTACAAATCCAAAATAGTATAAGAAAGTTATTAAAATTTTAAAAACGTTAACCACAGAGTGAATATGTTGTTTCCTGGCAGAAAATCTAAGTCCATTTAAAAGTAAAATATGGAAAAAATGGATTTATTTTTTTACAAAATTTCCTCCTAGATACTAGCTTTTGATCATAAACAAGCTTCTGTCCAAGTTTGGTACAAATCAAAAATAGTATAGGAAAGTTATTAAAATTTTAAAAACTTTAACCACAGAGTGAATGTGTTGTTTCCTGGCAGAAAATCTAAGTCCATTTAAAAGTAAAATCAGGAAAAAATGGATTTATATTTTTACAAAATTTACTTCTAGATACTATCTTATGATCATAAACAAGCTTCTGTCCAAGTTTGGTACAAACCCAGGATAGTTTAAGAAAGTTATTAAAATTTTAAAAACTTTAACCACAGAGTGAATGTAATATTTCCCAGCAGAAAAACTAAGTCCATTTATAAGTAAAATACGGAAAAAATGGAATTTTATTTTTACAAAATTTACTTCTGGATACTATCTTATGATCATAAACAAGCTTCTGTCCAAGTTTGGTAGAAATCCAGAATAGTTTAAGAAAGTTATTAAAATTTCAAAAACTTTAACCACAGAGTGAATATTTGTGGACGCCGCCGACGACAACGACGACGACGACGACGACGACGACGCCGACGGAATGTAGGATCGCTATGTCTCGCTTTTTCGACTAAAGTCGAAGGCTCGACAAAAATGAAAACAACACGTTAAATAATTTAATTTTTCGAAAAAAAGCACACGGACCTTTCATTTTTTTCTGCTTTTTTAGTTCCTTTATTTATATACTATCCACATATAACAGTCATTTAAAAAGCTTGTTATTTTGAATCAGGAATGCAAAATCCGCTAATTCAAAAGTTAACAAAAGAGAGTCGACTTCAATAAATCCGGTAAACACAAACCCTCTCCCTGTAAAAAAAGGGGATGCGGCATTCTATGAAATCGATTTAATTATTTCCCATTTTGCAACATAGCTTTAGATGTTTGTTGTATATCTTACCATCTCTTTCTGTCGATTCTGTTTCTTTATCTGAAATACACAAATCAATATAAGAATTTAACAAAAATAATAAAATGATTCGTCTGGGTCAATGATTATGACCGAATTATTTGTTGAAATTTTTGAGATGAAGGTAGGCCTATATGTAGAAATGTTTACAACGATGCGTTGCAGGTAATTCAGTTACTGACCCAAAAACTGAACGAAATGGAAAACTATGGAAGTGTGATCAATATCAAGGGACTATTGAAATAGTAATATGTACCCATAGCTTGGATTCTTAAGACAAACAATAATTGACCTATTTAAAGCTTACAATAGCCAAGAAACTACCCTTATCATTAGAACTAACTGGTCATTAATGAGCCATGTAAATAAGTCAAGGTCAAATGTCTTCTGCCAGACGTATGATTACACATTACAATGGTCAGCAATATAAGACACACACACTACTATCCTCTACAAGAATAAGTTTTACACAATGGTTCTACGCCGTCCTAACCGAATGAAGATACATGTAGATCACGATTTTACGACTCTGTCGCTGGTAAGAAAGAAATTTGAAAAAAACTTTGCATGAATATCATTTCATCATATTATTAAATTTACACAGCGAAAATGTAGTTTTACAAAAATGAACAAGAAATCTGGAATACACAACAGCATAACATAAGATAAAACTTCGAATCAAATACTAGTGTACGGGCTTTATCACATGATAGAAAGCACCAAACTTATAATTTTTCTTTCTCCGAATTATTTTCTATCACTTTAGTGAGAGAATAAATTTTTGTCAGCATATTTGTATCTGTTAACAAGAAATATTGCAAATACCTTCTGTAACAATATCAAGCGTTCCTTCAGCCACCACTGAATAGTAGGTCTGTACTCCTTCTCCAAACTTTTCAAGTCCCAGTATTAGCATTGTAACAGGTCCACATTCTGGAGCAGTCTTGATTTCTAGGAAGACATCTTTCGTATACTTTGGCAGATCGACTAGCTGGTGTTGAACAACATTGTTATCCGTGACAGAGACTAGGTAGAATATGGCTTGTACGTTGTTTGGGAAATATAGTGGCCAAGTACTAAAATCCTGTAGTTCATGACCCTAAATGAAACATTCATTTGTTTAGTGTCAAACAATATTTCTTGTGAAGGATAAGTCATTACATTGATTATTGCACAATGGCTTCTTAATTGTTAAGAGGGAAATGAAACGTATATTTAAACTCTTAGCCGCCTAGTCTTTGCCCATCGCAATAAATGTCGAGTGCGTTTCATTCTACCTGAGAAACTCATGAATAAAGTCAGCCTGATATGAATAAAGGAACAAGTCGACAAGAAGGGGAACACAGTTGGTTCCAATTGCTTGTTGGAAAACACGTCATCTAAACGTAACAAATATGTTGTCGTTCTTTGTAAAAAATCATTCTGATTCAAACAATTAATTCTCTCAAACTAACATTATCAAGATTCTTGATTTTTTGATAGACAACATATTTATTACGTTTGGATGACATGTTATTCAACAAACAATCGGCATTCCCATGGGAACCAACTGTGCTCCTCTTCTTGCCGAATTGTTCCTTTATTCATATGAGTCTGACTTCAAACAGTAACTTCTTAGAAAGAAAGAAAAGAAGTTGGCAGTATCCTTTAACTTCACTTTCCGCTATAAAGATAATGTTCTCTAACTAAATAATTCAAAATTTGGTGACTATGTTGAACGCATATATCTATATATATAGACATAAAGGATACAACAGATAATGTTAAGTATGCCTCATATATTGACTTACATCTAGAAATTGACAATGAGGGTCGGTTGAAAACAAAACTTTATCACAAAAAAAGATGATTTCAGCTTCCCATTTGTGAATTTTCCATTTCTATGTAGCAACATTCCAGCAGCCCCTGCATACGGATTATAAATCTCCCAGTTGATACGATATTCCAGGGCATGTATTTCCCATCATGATTTCCTTAATAGAGGATTGCTGCTCACAAGGAAGCTATTAAACCAAAAGTTCCAAGTAGTGAAGTTGAAATCATCCCTTCGCAAATTTTACGGACGACGTCACGAGTTAGTTGACCGTTATGGAATATCTGTTTCACAGATGAGAACGAATATGTCCCAATTGTCGTAACAACAATCCCGTCCCCTTTCCCCCGAATGTGACCTACCGAATTAGACATATCACCGGGTTTGTACTTACAAGAGCAATACGACGGGTGCCACATGTGGAGCAGGATCTGCTTACCCTTCCGGAGCACCTGAGATCACCCCCAGATTTTGGTGGGGTTCGTGTTACTCGGTCGTTGGTTTTCTATGTTGTGTTTTGTGTACTGTTGTTTGTCTGTTTATCTTTTTCTTTTTTGACAATAGGTTTGTCGGTTTATTTTTGACTTATGAGTTTGAATGTCCCTTTGGTATCCTTCGCCTCTCACTAGTCAATGAAGAGATCAAGCATCTTGATAATGTTAGTTTCAGTGATTTTTTTGTTTGAATCAGATTGTAGTTTTTTGTTCACAAAGTACGATTTATCCCTCCTTAAAACAAGATATGTGTATCTACGTTGGCTAGTTTTTTTTAAAGAAACAAAACAAGACCAATTATTTTAATTTGTCTTTAAGATTTGAATGGGTAATACTTGTGTGAATGGTAGAAAAGTCAAATGTTTAATACCACAACAGGAAAGAGACTAAGATTGTATTCATTCCATCAGATCTTTGGGATCAACATCTGATTCACAGCGCACCTACAGTGTGTTTTTTCATAATATCTCTGAACTCCGGCTTAGATTGCTGATACAATGTATGTTAATAAATTAAAAAGAGGTTCTACTGAGAACTTTGAAGACAAAGCAGTATCAAGTTGTCAGTAAGGACATTCATGTAATTTAAATATCCAATACTGTGAAGAAAGATCCAGTTCTTCACCTTTGGTTGAAATTCAAAGGAACATAGAACAGACCTATGATTATTAAGAATTTCTTTTTCGATAAGTGTAGTGGGGGTATACGTTGAATTTATTAAAATGCAAAATATTCAATGTACCTCGCCAAAGACACATTCACAACCTACAGATTCCAATCAAAATGTTTCCACTAATGTCTTACTTTTTGGCTCCGATAGACTCACAGTAGAACAAAACATACTGATATTCAAAGCTGTGCAAAACTTTATTATAAGTAGCAATCGATTCACATCCACAATCAAATAATTCTAATTAATCACTCCTCCCCTACATAAAAAATATTGTTTCATTCTTTAATAACACTCTCATTTTTCTAAAAACACCTTTCACCCCCTTCCTTTGCTATATATTTTTTTCTTATGAATTTTCCTTTTTAATATTGTAATCATTGACTGTATTTTGTTACATATTTATTCGTTTGCTATTCAGCATGTATTCATAGATTGTAATTTTATTTTCGAATTTAGGGAGACGGATTTATATAAGAGCACTGCTCTTGTTTCCTAATCCCAATTATTGAATCTTTTGTATATTTTGTATTTATGTCTTTACCCTTGTAGCTATATATTATAACGATTTCTTTAATAAAATATGTTTACAGTAATTTCAATTTCACGCAGTTTGTGTAATGTGATTTTACACACAAAAACGATGTTGTTTGAGGCTTTATCTGCGGAGACAACAACATGTTTCTCATGGAGGTAGGACAGGTGCTTAGCCATATTTTGGTCTTTTAAGAATCGATGTAGCATGTTTATTCGTACACCGATTCAGTTTTGTTTAATTATAATTTGTATCAACAACTTCACATCGTTAACCCATTTAGAATGAGTATCTATGTCTTCTTTCTCGACTGGATTCATCAGTATTTTGAAGTTGTGCTTCTAATTGATGGATTTAGGTTCACGATACTCACATGTCGGGCCTTTGAATGACATATTTCGCAGAGTAGAGTTGTTGACAATATTCTATTCACCAGTTATAACGGTTCAGCAGGAATATATATGAATGAGGAACTAGCACAGGTGCAGTCGGGATTGTTATACATGTAGTCGTCAATATTGAGATCCTGCAACACGTGTTTGTTATCGAAATATTTAGTCGCAATTTTTTTGTATAGGTATAAGTGATGATAGGTACACACCGATATTTTAAGTATGGTGGTATTTTCTAATAAACTTATTTATGATGAAGGATATTGCCCAAGTTAATGGCATCGAGACCAATTTTTGGTAAAGGAAAGTTTTAGAAAGGATCTGATCTCTGTTTCATCTTTTCCAACGCGAACCAGTGTGAAAAGTCTGTGACTTGCAATATATGAGATGATAGCTGGAAGTTTGTATTGGTTTGAATTGGAATTTGTAACAGTGGTCTCCAAACATAATTTGTTTAGATTTATATGACACTGTGAAAGGGGTAGTGAATAAAAAACTTCCTGCGAATGTGATGAATACCGAACGGCTACTGTATAAATGGCATTAGGTCATTTATGGAGAAATCATGGAAAGTTTGTGAATTATATTGACGATGACCATGACTGCGTCTACGTCGAGGAGCGGAGTTGAAAATATTCATCACATTCACCGAGCTACAGGAAGAACGACAAGATAGGATACATATACCATCCATTTTGTCATTGAACAATATGGTGTCGTAATCCCTTTTGGGATTCTGAGTCTGGAGCGATTTTCTGGCGGTCAAATCAGAAAATTACTCCGGACTCATAATCACAAAAGGGATTAATGGTTTCGCAGTTTTCAATTTTCAAATTCAGCAGTCTTCCGTTTGTCTACTGAGAGTTGTTGCAAGATGAGCATTCTTACTCGTGTGGTATAGTTCTTTGATGATGCGAACTCGCATATAAAGGATTTAATGATCAGACTGATTACTAATTAATGTTGATAAACAATGTCATTTGTACTGTTGTAAATGGCTGATCTATGGCCGCACATACGTTTATTTAGCCTTCCTTTCGTTTCAACGACATATACCAATCCGCAAGGTTACACTCTAATCAATAGACGAGATTGGTTGGTTTACAATTCAAATCATCATCATAGCTCTAAGTATACTATTAGTTGGTTTTCCCGTTTGAATGCTTTTATACTAGTAATTTTTTTGGGGCCCTTTATAGCTTGCTGTTCGGTGTGAGCCAAGGCTCCGTGTTGAAGACCGTACTTTGACCTATAATGGTTTACTTTTATAAATTTTGACTTGGATGGAGAGTTGTCTCATTGACACTCATACGACATCTTCTTATATCTATTAGTAAGACTGTTAAGTTAAATTGGAATTATTGCTAGTAAATTGAGTATATGTTATTAAAATTTTACATGTTTTGCCGTTTTTGGTTATACATAAAGAAACGAGACAGGATTATTCGGAGTCATTAAAGTCAGAAATGTCTTGTAGTAGAATTGTACACGATCAGGTGCGAAGAGCATTGCTATTCTCATTAGTATGATCGTTTTAATGTCTTGTATTCGATGTATTTGTCATACCTGGTGATAAAGGGGCACCTGTGTCCATAATGGCGTCTGTTTCAGACCTTTTCATATGTTCGAGTCTGTATTTTGTTATATTATCGTAATCGTATGCTACTTAGTTTATGATGTCCTCGGGGAAACAATTACCACCAGCAGAGACGTTTACCCAGTGGTTGTAAAAAAAGGGCGGAAAATATCAGGGGACTCATCAGTCGAAAATGAACTGACAATGCCATTGTAAAAAAACAAAAAACAACCAAAAGACAAAGGTAGCAATACACAGTTTGGAGTGTGGTTTCGCATTTTGGCCATGGTGAATTTTCTAAATATGAAAGTTATTGTGCAATAAAATTGATTTTTAGATAGCTGAAGAATAATATAGCCTTCAAAGTGGGTTTATATAAAACATCAAGATTGCTTTTGCAGGTTTTATATGTCATGTTCTGTTTGACAGTCTGTATTTTGACGCTCGAACTTTTCAATTCAATTTTATGGAAAAATGAGGTAAAATGGATATAACTTTTTTTGACTTATTGATAGAAAAATGTCAATGGTTCGAGAAAAGATATCACACTCTAATGGATTGAATTCTCTTTTGGACAAAATTTGGGGTATTTTGTGACATTTTCATCCCCTTTTTTGCAATATTTTGTATCAAATAAATGTAGATTGTTGCCATGATTACACCAAAAAGAGATTATTAAAAGCTTTTATCTCCCTTTAGTCTGCATGCAGTTTTACTATTTTTTTTTATTAAGATGTAGAAATCTATTGCAGATAAACACCTTTCCTTTAATACTGGCATGACTTGTATTCAAATAGATGCTATTAAAGAAAATACAATATTACTATAATTTTCAAATTATATGGAGTTTGAAATTACTAAACACAAAAAAAATAGCGATTTGAGTCTTTAATTCATTTATTATATTTTATAATCAAACTCTTTATTCTTAGATGAGAGTTCTACATGAAAAATTTAAATGTTTTACAATTTCAGTCTTGAATGACTGTTATCATGCGATTTGAGTCTTCAAGCCATTTTACAATTAAATGCCTAATTATGACAGTTCTACATGAAAAATTTTAATTATTTTGCAATTTCAGTGCCCAAATGACTGTTAAACTATCATGTTCCCTCTTTTGTTACTATCGTGTTCCCTCTTTTGTTACTATCGTGTTCCCTCATGTTCCCTCTTTTGTTACTATCGTGTTCCCTCTTTTGTTACTATCGTGTTCCCTCTTTTGTTACTATCGTGTTCCCTCTTTTGTTAATTCAAAATGGGTTTTACATACCTGAAAACCTTGAATATGTAAAATAAAGGCCATATTAGCTGGCCTGCATGGAGCAAGATCTGCTCCTACCGTGAATTGTACCCAGTAACTGTAATCATTCACAGATTCTCTGTTTAATTGCGATCTGATTATAGAAATATAACAGACAGCGGCACATAAATCGTCTAAGACGGAACCAGTATATTCCTATAAAAGATAAATACATGAATTGTTTCAAACGTATACTTAATAAGTAAATTATTAAAACCATGGATGATAAGCATCAATATTTTATGGCACTGGCTACGATTACGTTGAAATGTAACGATAACAAAAAAAGTTATTGTTGCATTGGACACTAATTGCCGGAATGCTAGGTTGGGTTGGGAATCGATTAATTACGAACGTAACAATAATAGTTGTGTCTACGGTTACGTTGTGTTATTGTTACGTTAATGCACTTCAATGTATGCTGGGACTAGTGATATGTATTAAAATACAACTTGAAAACTTTCATTCGTAAGCACTGCAATGCTACAATATAGCATATATTTTATTTATTTTATTTACAATGCGGGCAGCTTCCACACATCTAGTGCTTTGGGGAGCATGTTTTAGTCCGACGCATTTTTGGTGAAACCACTCTAGGCAGCCATCACAATCGAGATGAAACCATCCAGACGGACATGCACACCTTAGGCCAAAAATAAAATTTAGATTGTTTGATGTTGCCTACCTACCCACCTAAAAAGCAGCCTACCCGAAAAAAAATGACACAAATTGATTCATTTTTTTTCAAACATTTTCTCCTGCTCTTACGTCGTTTTCTTGTCTAGAACATATAACTTATGTTGTTGGCAAAAACAAAATCCATACCTACCTGCCCAACCCTACAAGGCATTGGTAGGCAACATCAAACAAAGATTTTTTAAAGGGTTGCCTTACAGTCTGAGTCATTCCATACATCAATTTAATATAGTTAACCTTCTGCATGTAGTATCGGATATACGCACTTGACCACGAAAACTTAACATTGATCACTAATCAATGAAATGAGGTCGAGGTCAGGTGAACCCTGTCTGACGGACATGTATTCCTTGCAAAAATCAATTATATACATTACCAAATATTGTAATTCTATAAGTCGTAAGTGAGAAATTCTTAGTTTCGTAAAATTCCATGAAGGTTTGACAAAGTTATTAATGTGTAAAAATAATTGAACCGTACATCGACTGGCCTTAATTTTGACGACGACGGAATGTAGGATCGCTATGTCTCGCTTCCGTGACTTTCGTTGCAAGCTCGATAAAAATATAATTGAAAGTCAGATTAATCCGATCGATATGAACATAAACTCTGCTTTGTGCTACACACTGAGTCATAGTGTTAACGTGCTGGTAAACAAGGTAACAGTCCACAGGGAAACGTGTCACCCTACCCGGACATAATAGTCCGAGTGGCGGAAGGAATTTTTTTTTCGGGACGTCGGAATTGGGCTTTATTTTTGTGGGAATTCGGGATAGGGCCTCATTTTCGCGGGAATTCAGGATTTACATTTATCATGATTCGGGAATAAGCATTTAGTTTTTCGGGATTCCGGGAAAGAATACTTTATTTTTGCGGGACTTCGGGTTGACACCCCTCCTACCGCCCCTCTAGTCTGACTCCCGAGCCACAAGTCTTGTCTTACTCCAAATGCCGTATGCTTAGCGGAGAATTAGCGTTTAGTTTGTATTTGGTGCACATACTGTATCTATATGTTACTAAAAAGAGATGAGTCTATGTAAATGCTCATTTGTTCCGACGTTGGTAAGTTCTGGGCGAAAAGAACTAACTAGCCGAAAAGTTCCGGAGGAACTTATTAACTAGTTACTTTGTTCTTCCTCTGGTTTAAAAGTTCCACCGGAACAAAGTGACTAGTTGAAAAGTTCCAACGGAACATATCAACTAGTTAGAAAGTTCCTTTTTGTCAAATTAGGCAAAACCGGAACTAACAAACTAGCCCAAAAGTTCCAACGGAACTTATCAACCAGGCAGAAAGTTCCATTTGGAGAATTGATGCAAAGTAAATGCGCAACATATTATATTTGAACCTTTCAAAGGGAAACCAAGATACTGATTACAAAAGTCAAAAGGAACTTATCAACTAGCCACAAAGTTCCTCTTTGGCAAATAAGTCAAAACCGGAACTAACAAACTAGCCCAAAAGTTCCAACGGAACTTATCAACCAGTCACAAAGTTCCATTTGGAGAATTGATGCAAAGAACCACATGAGGAGGGGGGTATTCTTCCCTCTCTTGAGGGTACTATGAATACTAAATTTGCATGATAATGCAACTTATTCCGTTTTATGTGAGCTAAGAAATACAACTTAAATTTTGCATATTTATCCCCGAAGAAACCCCTTTCAGTGTGTTGGGTATTCTGGTAAATTAATGATTTGCTCTTATATATACTGATACTCATTCTTCCCCCTCTTTCTACAAAAAGGACGAAATATGATATATTCGAAACGATGTAACTAGTTGTTCTGTTCCGCCAGAACTATTCAACTAGCTACATTGTTCCGGGACTTTTCAACTAGCTACTTTTTTCCGGAACTTTTCGACTGCACTCGGAATAGAACAACTAGTTGGAAAGTTCCATCGGAACGAAATAACTAGTTGAAAAGTTCCGCCGGAACAAAGTAACTGACGGAACATAGTGGCTGTTACATCTATTCGTCAGTAAAAGCCGGCATCTGAAAAAAAATCTAAATTTTGCCCCTGATGCCATCTCCAAAAATCTTGTGTCAAAGCTACATAAAATTCCGTAAATAATTGATGTCTAATATATTTAATCATAGACGGAACCTTAACATGTACAGCGTCCATTTCGCTGAACTAGTATACATTATTGTTTAGGGGCAAGCTGAAGCCCGCCTCCAGGTGCGGGAGTTTCTCACTGCGTTGAAGACTCAATGGTGGCCTTGTGCGGTTTTCTGCTCTTTGGTCGCGTTGTTATCTCTTTGACACATTCCCCGTTCCTATTCTGTATTCTACTCAATGTTGATGCCACCGACAACGTCACGCGACGACGATGTCTTCGTGACTTTCAAAGCAGGCCAGACAAACATATCAGTAACGGAATAACAAAACAAACTAATGGTATTCTCAAACAAAATGTAAAGTTTAAGGTAAGCTGCAGGTAGACACCTGGAGACTGACTGGCTATGCAGGTTTTGAAGCAATGGTTTAATTGAAATGTTATTAAGGCCAATATGCTCCGTTCGAGTTTCGGAATATCCGTTAATGGTGTAAATAAAAAATATCAATAACACTCAGGACCCGGCCGAAACATAACGACACAGACAAACACATGAAAATAATGGACGGAAGTCATTTCAATTCCTTTTTCAATGATAATCTTATTTCTAAAATATTCTATCGAAACTTTAATTGACTCTTTAATTTATACCCGATTTTCATTAAATTATCACTATTACTCAGTAATATTTATCGTTGCCGATATAAACTTTAATGGACAGTACCCACAAGAAACTGGAAATATTTCTAGTGCAAATTTTAATGAAAATTGGAGAAGAAACGTGCATAAAATATTTTTTGGGGATTTTTTTTTTGGTTTATATACACAATACAATTGGAGAAGAAGGAGCCACTTTTGTCCATACCCATATTCTGCATGAATCTCTTATTCAATTTACAATTTAAAATATATAAACAGATTTATGACAGTACTAAGTCTTTCGATTTTTTTTTTCTTTTGTTTGTTTTGTTCTATTGGTACTATTACACAATCAATAAGTACGTTGGTCGTTCGCAAATAACCAGATTAATAAACAATTAGAATGTCAGACCAATCAACATGATCAATAACTATAAACTAATGCTCACAACTCACACTGTGGCCGGATAAAAAATTACCTGACCAACACTTTATATAGAAATTTTATTTTGGGATATTTCATAAATTTCAGAAAAGACTCAACTCTCAACCTGGAAAAGGAACGCATTTGTTTCTTTATTTATATACAACCGTATATGTTGTATAACAATTTATAAACCTCTAATTGTTCCCATTGTTTGACTTTGGTGGTCCATGCTAAAGATGTGTTATAGGGAAACGGGCCGTAGTGTTAGGGATCAGTTTTCGGTTATGCATGGTTAGGGCCTCGAGGTTAGGGCTAGTTTTCGGTTAATGTTAGGGCTAGTGTTAGGTAAGGAATGGCCTATAGGTTAGGACTACTGCTTTTAGGGTTAGTTTAGTATTCATGACTATATCATCCTATAGTGAGTAAAAAAAGGCCCCCTATTTTTATGTATTTGTATTATTTTGCAATTACTCGTGTAATTTCTCACATAAACATTTTGCAATTGCCATGACATAATAACTGATATCGCAATCGCGTAAACAAACAATGCATTTTAATATAGAAAGCGTAGTAAACATGGTACTCACAGAATCGTTGTTTCAAATTGTGTATACAACATCTGTCACGTGGTTGCCAAATTACGTACCACACGTACGAGTGTCATAACAGTGGTCAAACACGTGGGGTCAGATCATTTTTATTAATTCACACTGCCTAGTTTTTACAAGAAAAATAGAAAATGAAAATCTGTGTACGAAATTAAATAGAATATTTATAATTAGGCGTAGGAGTAGAATGAAAAGTGGGAGGGCAACTTCTGAAACATGTCAAAGTGCACATGACAAGACTTAAAAATAAAATAGTAGGAGTTTGTCAGTGCAGAGACATGTAAAGTATATGTAGTATATCTGTCTCTGGTCAGTATCCTCTTTCGTCCTCTTTCATTTTTATTTTTTATTTCAATCATTTGTTTTGCCAAAAAAGTAGAGGGGGGAAAAGGGAGGGCTCCTATACGCCCTTGCGATAGACTTAAAACAATACTTTTAGCATTTTAGAATACATTTTAGATACTTTTGTCACGAGTGTTTTTTTCATTTCCTTTTATGATAAATATGATAACGACACATGACGTGGTCTTCGTCCTCAATTTTTTTCATACATGTTTTACAAAATTTGTCATTTCTAACAATTCGTATTATATTTCCCTCTTTCGATTTCGAGGTAATTATATACGCTTAGTCTCATTTTAGCTATAATAGATCGATCTGGCAGATTTCATAGCACAGTTTGATCGAAATAAGTTTTATGCTTCCTTATCATCGAAATGATACGAAAAAATTCAGAAAAAAAATTGAATATTGCTCTAAACGTGGAAGGTTTCTATTGGTTAATAAATGTACATTTTGTACAATTAGGAGACTGTTTTGAATTATTCAATATTGTGTTTTAAGGACAATTTAGTGTAAATTCAATTACTCGATTATATATATTTCTTTTAGGGAAAGAACCAGCAATATTTACGTCCGGAAAAGCTTCTATACGAATTTGGAAATTACATAGTTACAAGTGGCAAATTGACAATTTACGAATTAAGAATTTTTAAATTACACAGTTATAAGTTACAAATTGACAATTTACGTATTAAAAATTTTGAAATTTATAAGAATTTAAGCTGTCAAACCATTATGTATATATGCTTAGTGTCTAAATAATTGCATTACATGTATGTTTCACGAGAATCCGTTAGTTTGATTGGCTAACAACAATCGCGCGTCATTCAAAAATTAACCTTCATATCAATGCTTCCACAAAAAAGTTCACAGGTAAATAAAAGAAAAACTTGATTAAACTTTTTTCATGGTCTTATTAGCATAAAAATGTAATTATAAGAAATGAATGCTTTTTTTGTAATTTTGTTGGGTGTAAAACTGTTGATCGTGCACACATTTTTAGAATGAAGCGCTTTGGCGCTTCATACAAAATGTGCTTCGGTCAATACTTGATGATTTTGGAAATTTGCCATGATTATTTGAAAAAATTTATAAGTTTTATAAAATATATTGAAATTTTTATATCTAAATATTTTAAATAAAGTTATCATCATTACAGATTGATCAAGCCGACCAAAATACAGGGTGATCGCAAGTGCCCGGAAGGGCAGACAGTTCCTGCATCTCTAGTGACATACGTCGTCTCAGTTACTCATTATAGTTAAATATCAGGAGGTAATGTCAAAATCGAGGAAAAAAGGAAGGGAATAGGATAAAAAGAGAAGCAAAAGATACCAAAGGGACATTCAAACTCATAAGTCAAAAATAAACTGACAACGTGATGGCTAAAATAGAAAGGGACCAACAGACAAACAACAGTACACAAAACTCAACATACAAAAACTAAGGAAAAAGCAACACGAACCCCATCAAAAACTGGGGGAAAGGGGAGGGGGATCTCAGGTGCTCCGGAAGGGTAAGCAGATCCTGCTCCACATATGGCACCCGTCGCTGTTGCTGGAATGTAACTACATAGACATGTGCAAGAATATGTCACATTTCCAAGCGAGATAACCCAATCTGTTTATATTGGACAGTAGATAATTAACGACAACTCTTGACTCCTTCCAATAGATGTCGTTGCATTTACTAATCTTGTTAAATACAACAGAGACATGTCTCTGATAAAAATTAATTAGCGTCTTCACGGGAGTTATAAATTACGATACTTGAGTTAGTGGTCTTTAAAAGGACTATGATATTGAGATCAAAACCGCGTCGTATTATAAATCAATGAACGAAGGGGAAATTATTTTGAAAAATTATGGAAAAAATCCATATTTTTGGTAATTGATCTCGAATGACATTTTTTAACAAACAGTCATAAAACGTATCTTATGAGTTTTGATGTTCATATATCTTTAAAAATACCATCTAGAAGGTTATATGACATCCTTGTTACCAAGAAATTTAATATTTTCATTTGTCCTTATGCAACAGAGCTGACGACGAAATTGGTACCGAACCGTAGCTTATTGCAGTTTAATCACCATAAATAATGAAATTATATGGCATAATATCAGCTGTGTTTTTTTATAAATATACTAACACCAGCAAACACAAGTTTGTCCAGCTTTCTAACAATAGGCTATATATATATATTCATTCAGTACAATCATTCATTTATGCCTTGGACAAATAAGTTTGCTTTAAAATGATGCTATATATGTCTTTGAAGAAATAACTTACAAGCTAGATGTTTTTCATTTTTAAAATGTTTTATATAAAAACGGCTAAACATATCTCAACCATCTTTAGTTAGGTAAGGCGTAAGCAGACAAAAAGGTTCAATAAATCAAATTTAGAAAATTGGTGAAAATTAAAGATATAAATTCTAAGACTAAATAATTGAAGATTAAGTCATTCAACAGTTAAAATATATTTTTATTGATATTGATAAGTAGAGCTCTCTCCCTCTGATTGATAAGTGAAAAGATTTATCAATTGTAGTAACTAAAGACGTCATCATGAAGCGAGTTAGGTCGCAAGCGCTTTTATAGTGGGTCTCCCTTTTTATGTGTGTTTAGGAGTAATTCTTATTTGAAAGTTTTCTTTCATATTTCAACTTATTTTCACTTATCTAAAATTTTCTAACTGCTATCAGTGCGATTTAATACTTACAGTATTTATATCTGATGTCCCTCTGTCCTTATTTTCAACAGTGCAAGAAAGGTAAAAAATTTGCCTGAATTAAGTCACGGATAAAAATTCACAGGACAATAAGGAACGACATCAAAAGTTCAATGTAGGATAAACAAACTTAATTAACGTAGTTTTTTCACTGACCCCCACACCTCTTAACTTAATTTGGGAAAAATTGATTGACCAATATGGATATATGTAAAATAGATATCAAATAAACAAAACTTGCAGCAATTTTTACCCCACCCCCAAACTATTTGAATTAATTTTTTTATCCTGCATTGATCCTTTGATGTCGTCCCTAAATCAAAGCTCATTTATGCGATGCATAGTTTGTCTTTGATAAATAAATCGTCCATGGTCAAACTAAAGAGCGAGGAACACGAATCCTTAAAAAAGAGTGATTTGAAAGATTTTTTGCATTAGTTTTCGAGTTCTCAAATTTGTTTTAATAGTTCCACCACATTGATGTTATGTCATTACAGGATGATACTTCCACAACAAACCGTGCATACATTCATTACATGTACATATGTCACAAATTAACACAAGTTGTATTGTATCAGATTCAATTTAATAAAACAAACAGTGGCATCCTGTTGAGCACATATAAGACATCGTAATTGGAGATGGGAAAGACAATCAAGCGAAAGGGTGCCTGCTGATAATAAAATTCATTTGACAATATATCAATTTCGAACTTTTTTAATATACCACATTTTCATTTTCTTTAAATATTATCGAAATACAAATGATGGAAAAATGTTTTACGGGTGAAAAAAAAAATTGAACAGCGAATCGTTTATTATTATTTAAATGTAAATGTATACTTTATCATTTATCATTAAATACGTTTCACCAAATATGAATAAAACATATCCTTATAGTCTCTATTATATGAAATTATACGAACTATGAACTATCATGAACAAGAACCCTTTAAAACTCCATTATGTCCTTTGAACAGATGAATTATCCCGACGAATACAAATTTAATATAATTAAATATAATTTTATTTTGTTTTCAATATTTATAGTTTCTATTTGAACAATAAATAATAGCCGCAATGAACACTTTGAATTTGAACTTATTATGTATTATTTCATTTATTTAAGAATAACCGGAATTTATTTTACATGTATAGCAGTATGATCTCGCTAATGTACGATGTTTTCGTATATTACATTTGTGTTGGTTATTTTTTTCAAAGACAACTTTTCAAAACGCCGGAGACCTAAGAATTTCTTAATTTAAACTGACTTTTCTGACATCAAAATATAGCATATTGACAGGAGTATTCAACAGTATGTGTTAATAGTATTTTCTCCGTATATTTAGTGTGCTTCAATTTTTTTAGTTACTGCTGTCTCGTTTCTTTTGAGGTAATTCATCGATATTTACTGATGCGAGTAAGGGAATTTAGATAATGAAAACTCAAAAAATCGGAGACCTAACAATTAGATAAGATAAACTGGATTTTTTAATACCACCAGAGAGGTAAATCTATGTAGAATTCGGTCGTATGTGTTAATAAGAATTCAGATGATTGGTAAAAATAATATGAAGAATTAATGAAGGGTACCCATTTATTTTCCCATTACTTTCTATGTTAATCGAACATCATTAAAAACATTGCACCCCGGGTGTCGCTAATAAGGGTAATCGGCCATTAGTGTCCTTCATTCTCGGGTATGAATGGAAAGTTCACAAATGGGAAGCTGAAATCATCCCGCTTGTCGTAAAGTTTCGTTTTCAACCGGCCCTCAGTGTCAGGTTCTAGATGTAAGTCAAGATACGAGGCAGACTTACTGTATCTGTTGTATCCTTTATCTCAAGTTAGATGGGATAGATGCGTTCAACATAGTCACCAAATTTTGAATTATTTAGTGAGAGAACATCATCTATATAGCTGAAAGTAAAGTTAAAGGGTGCTTCTTACTTCTTTTCTTT